AAGCCAATATATAACTGATTATAAGTATCAGCACTAACACTGCTAGTTATCACCACTAGGCAATTGGAGGAAAATAAGTAATGTCTTTAGTAATGCGTTTTTATTCACTGTTAAAAGAGCAGAAATCCGACTTCTACGGGGAATGATCAGCTTAAATCTTTTGTTATCTAAATTCTTAATAATTGAAGAAAAATGACCATCAGCTAATTTGTATCAAATTATTGTTTTGACCACTGCTTGTAAAAATAAGATAAAACCTGCATGAAAATGGCCAAACATTAACAAAATACATTGAAATGTACAAACATTTGTAGAAACATTGTTATTAGAGCAAATATTGGGGAAAAAATAAGAAAATTGGATATAATACGTTTAGCAGAGCTTGCTCATTTCCATAGCAGTGTGTCCTTGTCTAAATTCAGTAGATACTCAATTTTATATGAATCAGGTCAAAATGATTTTCTTATCAAGAGAGCTCCCAAAACTTCCATGTACTAAAGCAGAAAATAAGGCAGTACAATTTTAAAAAAGTAAAATCTTTCATAATTTCCTTGGAGCAAAGGCAGGAAAACATTGTATAAAATAATGAGAAATTGGGCTTTTCTGGCTGCTGATGTCATTTGTTGGAACCATAGTCTTGTAAGTGCCTCATACTAATTTGTAATCACATGGCAGACTTAATATTTAAAGTATTTAGTTTACTTCTTTTATGCAATATGTGCGTGTCAGAAGTAGATACCATTTGAGATTAAGAAATCTCAAACATTTTTTCTCAGCATTCTGAGAAACTAACAATAGCTACAATGATTAAAATTCTTATTTATCAGTAATTTATTTTTTACCAATTACATTTGTTAATATGCAAGTATTAAAACTACAAATGAAGAGTGCCATTTTCTTGCTTCAAAATTATTTTATTTGATTATTCAAATCATTAAGAAGCCAGTAGAAAGGGTAAAAGAACTGTAAGGACATAGTATTTTAGGTTGTATCCAATTCTTCATTGGTCATCTAAGCAGCCTAAAAGTTGCTTCCCTCCCCCACTGATCTGCTAAATCTATCAGATATTTTTTTTGTAATTCTTATAAAGCAATTTCACTTCAAAAGATGATGGGAGAGTATTCGCAGCTTTGAATTTTGGTGTTAGAGAAGAGACTCCTGGGAATCCTGTGGACAGCCAAGAAAATGGATCAGTGAACAAATCAACCTACAGTTCTTGTTAGAGGCACAATTGATCAGTCTCAAATTATCCCACTTCAGACACATTATGTGAAGGCTCAGCTCTCTGGAGAAGGCTTTAATGCTGAGAAAGAAAAGACAAAAAGAGGACAACCAGCAGCAAGGTGGATGGGCTTAAATAGGGTAGCAATGAGTGGCACCATTGGAAAACTTGAAAGAATCGGTTGGGGCAGATCATCATGCAGACTATGTGTTGATACCAACTTGATGGCACGTAATCATAAAGCAATGCAAACCCCATGCTCATGCAAATGTTAGAAAAATGAACTTTGGATTCACGATAGTGATCAAATTTGCATCAGAGTGGATGGCTAATGTCTTGCATCCTTTCACCTGAGCTTAAAGTTGTAGGAGGGTACAATGTCATTCTGTCCATATGAGGTAAGGAATTTTATTTTTAAAAATTGACTACTGCAATGGGGGAGGGGAGGTCATGCTTGAAACATAATTCAGAAGCTACAACTGGTACAAAAGGCAGCAGCCAAACAACTGGTGCAAAGTACAAGGACCACATCACAACTACACTGAAAGACCTGCACTTGCCAGGTGTAATTTAAAGCCTTAGAAGGCTGAAGGCCAAGCAGATCTTTCAAATGGAGCTCCCTATTCCCACCTTAGCAGCTGCTACATTTGAGAGAGCAAATCTGTTCTGGCTTGTATAGACAGGCTCCTTTTAGCAAAAAACAGCAGCTGGAGCAATACTGAGCAGATACCTGAAATGGTGACAGCTGCTTTTCCCAATATTAGAACTCTCAGCAATAGTGCAAATGTTTGGATGACCTGCCGATGGCAGCAAGGAGTTGGGAATTTTCTGAAATTCTGATGACATCTTCTGGTCACTCTATGCATTGTCTGGCACATCTGCTTGTCATCCTGCTCCAATTCATTGTCCATCCATCCACTGGTTATGGACATATAACATCCAACCAGTATAACAAATCATGCCCCAGAATGTCCACCTGGGGCATTTGCAGCTTCCAGCTCAAGGCTGGCTTCAGTGTATTGTCCACAACGAAACTGCCTACTTAATGAGCTCTTTAGGAGAAGTTCTGAATAAATGATCTCAGCCAGCTCAACTATTGGTGATGGCCCTTCTCTTGTGCACCTTCTAAAGATATGGAAAGCTCTTCCCCGGGAGAACCATTTGGCTCCCACTCTCCCAGAATTTAGGAACGCAGCAAGATGAGTCACTATCACTAGGGTTTCAATTGTTAACTGATTTTAATTATGCCATGTTGCTTTATATTTATTGCAAACTAGCATTGCTTCTATGAGCAAAAAAATAGAGCATAAATACAAACACTGGTTCTTTTCGTTCTGCTCTTTTGTGTTCATGAGATTGTTAACCTGCTGGAGAGGTTTCTGAGTTGTTTCTGAAACCTCTTGAAAATGTTTAGGCTACACACAAATCATTTTATAATTTTTTATAATTTCAAGTTGGGAAGCCCCCGATATCTTGGGGTCCAGGAGACGATGCCTAGGAACCCCTGGGCCTACGTAGATGATCGTGGGCAGCACGGGCAGCAGTTTGCGAAGGGGAAGCGTTGGAGGCCTCACCTGTTGAGCTCCATCCCGATTTAAAGGCACATAAAAAGAGGCACAAGCGCGACGGATCCCACGCGAGGGACACAGGCGCTGAGCGAGGGAGGAAGCCGGAATTCGGCGCCAAAGGCCGCGGGGGGCGAAGCGGAGGCGCCTTTCACGTGCTCGCGGCCGCCGCGCCCCCCCCCTCCGCCTCCGTCCCCTGCGGGCTGGCCCGGCGGGGCGGGGCTTCTGGGGTCGAAAGGAGCGGGGGTCCTGGGCTTTGGGACCACGTGGCGGCCACTGCACCGCCCGGGGAAGAGGAAGATGGCCAAGGCGCCGGGGGCACCCGGGGGTCCGAGAGGGAGCCCGCGCTGCCTTCCTTTGGGGTGAGCGCCAAGGCGAGCGAGGGGAAGGGGTGTGCCCGCCACGGGGGGGGGGGGGTGTGTGAAAGCACGAACAAGGCTCAGGGCACGAGCCGAGCCGGTCAGCAGGCTGGAAGCGGGGCACACGGAGCAGGGGCTCTCGTGAAAGTCTGGGCGCCCGGAGAGCCCCGGGGCAGGCTGAGGAGAGGGGGCGGTTTGGTGCGTCCAGGCGATGCGGGAAATGGACGCTCTCGAGTCCTTGGAGGGCGGCTGGCGGGCGGGGGGGGGCGGAGGGTCCTCCGCCAGCCTCGGGCGACACCGGGGAGGGGAAGCGTGGGGAACGGGCGCGGGAAGGCGGCCTCGGGCCAGCCCGGGAGGTCCTCGGAGCGCCGCCCGTGGGGTTGCCGAAGCAAGCGGGTCGACGAGGCGCGCGCCGTGGGGCGGGAGTTTTGAAGAACGGGGAGGGCTGAGCTATGGGGTGGAGGAAGGGGACGGGTTGCCGGCGGGGAAGGAGGGCCTTGCTGGCGGCGGAGGGGCTGGGGGGGTCCCTGGGGGCGAGCGGGGAGTCCCTATCGGGGAACGGCCCTCTTCGCCCCGCGCGCGGTGGGACATTAGATGCCATTAAGTGCCCCTCGATAATTACGAACGAACGGCCGATGCGGGAGGGAGGAAGGGAGGCAGCCTGTGAGAGGCGCTGGGGGGCGGAGGCGCCGAAGACACGTGTGTGAGAGGAGGGGGAGCGAGGAAACTGGGGGAGAATCGGCGGGGGGCGAAGGGGAGACCCGTGGGGCCTGTCTAAGCGGGGTCCAGGGCAGGCAGTGAAAGCAATGGGGAGCAACGGGGGGCCATTGGCAGATGGGGCGGGCGGAGAGCTTCCCGCGAAGAGCCAGGATGTGTGGTGGACAATGCAAAAGCCGGGCACGTGGAACTCGTTTGAATGTGGATCCGTGTCGGTTTGGATCCCGCCTTTTCGGGCATGAAAACTCAAGGCGGATTGCAGAGCCCGCAAATCTGGGGAGGTGGTCGCAGAGCCGGGTTTTGCCAAAAGTCCGGGGGTCCAGGAGAAGATTCATAGGAACCTAAGAGAAAGGGTGATGTTTGGGGAAGTAGCCTGGGTTGAGCATGCGGGGCAGCGTTCACACGTACGCAGCTGTCTGACTGCGGGGTTCAAAGGGAGAGAGCAAAGCACATCGTGAGGAGACGAGATTGAGCGTAGAAACCCCCCTCCCAAATCCTGTCAGTGCTTTTGGCAGCAGGTGTGCGTATTACGCCCGTTCACGTATATGTGGCTAAAAAAAAAACATCTCTGAAGGGGACTATATTCTTGCCAAAGCGGAGGGATACCATTTGGGCGCTTTTTCTTTAATTTGGCGGGATGGGAAGTGGACTTTTTTTTTTTCTTTTGGCTTTTCACCAACGGCTGCCTGCGCTCACTACCTCATTCCTTCATACGGCGGGAGGAACATGAGTGAATGGAACAGCCGCAGAGGGGAGGCGCACGTGCGTGGTAAGGGAAAAGCAAAAGGAATGAATGAGGGAGACGGCAGCGGGAGGGAAGGGAGCTCCTGAGAAGAGCTGATGATGCAAGCAAAAAAAGCTCAGCGGTTGGGTAAAAGGAACAGCGCCCCCATCCAGCAGGAGAAGTGAGGGGTGGGAGGTGCGATTGACAGCTACTGAAAGGAACAGCCTCTGTTGAACGTTCTAGTCCCAGCCGAGGGAGGCACTCGGGAAGAGCTTGGCCCTGGAAGCCAGAGTGGAGGTTGCAGTCGCCACCAGCTGCAACAGAAGCTAGCCAGCAAGTAGCAGCAAGCAAACCACCGCAGTCCTGGCTGGGAGGGACCTTGGAGCAAGCAGGCAGGCAGGAGCCAGAGGAGGAGGAGGAGGCTGGCTCGAACCAGATCCAGACCCTGGCATCGTGGAAGCAATGGATCGGAAGAGGTGGGAGTGCTCAGCTCTCCCGCAGGGATGGAAAAGGGAAGAAGTGACCAGGAAATCGGGGCTCTCTGCTGGCAAGAGTGATGTCTATTATTATAGGTGAATGTGCCACGGCGGAGGGGCCTTGGGTAGGGAGGGTTGGGGGTGGGAAGGGAGGAAGATGGAGGGGGTGATGGGGCTGCTGTGGCCGCCGCCACCTATCTTTATCTTTACAGGCTTGCTGCTGTAAGACTGTCATTGCAAATATATGCATACAAAGAGGGGGAGACTGCTCGATCTGCATTTTCTGCATGGAGGAGATATAGCTGGTCTTTCCTGTCCCCTGTTTGCATCGACTGTGGAAAGTCTAGTTCTGTGGGGAGTGGGGGAAACTGGTTTCTGCATGTCAAATAGGAAAGGAATGAGTGGTTATTTCCAACCTTTGCATGTGTGCTGGGCTGGAGGTCCTGTCCATTTCAGAGCGGAGAGTGGCATCTTTAGCATTTTTGAAAGCTACAGATGTTTCCTTGTTCTGTATTTAGCTAAAGAATCGCTTGAAAGGAAGGTTGCCAATGGCTTTCTCTCGGTTAGCAGCGGAGTGAACTACAAATGACAATTTCACATCTTAAAAGTCCAGTCACTTGTTATATATCCTCCCCCAGTGAATTGTGGGCAGGTTAGTCTCTTAGTCTCTACATGCTAAGAAATTACAATCCTGTCGCCATTGCAGGATATTCTTGTGGAAGTTTACGCTGTTATTTCAAGGTGGAGGAGCTAAGTTGCTGTCTGCTTTTTGTTCCTTTGGGGCTATGAAAATATGATACCCTTTTCTAGTGACTTTGCATCTGGATTTTGAGATATATCAATGGGGGTTCTCTGGAGAGAAATAGACTTTTATATTGAATACAGCAGTGGTTCTCAAACTGGTCTGCACAGGCCAGCTGGTCTGCCACAACATCCCCACATTAACCACATGGAGTCTACCCACCATTTCAAGTGTTAAATAAATTCTTAATTTCAGACTTCATTTTTTGGTACAAAATTTATCTGAAGGGCTCTTTTAAAATGGAATGAAGATTTGTGTATATCAGAATATAACATGGATGCAGTAATAACTTGCTGAAAAGTGCTTTCAGAGATGAAGAACTTGCTTGAGTTTTTCTAATATTTATTAAATGGTTCAGATTTGCTGAGAGTTTGTGAAAGAGTGGCACAGAGAGACCGTGAGGCTTTAAAATACAGAAGGAGCAGGTGCTGTAGGAGTCACACGGAAGGGCAACAGATCAGGTGGAGAATGTATGAGTTGATTTTAGTTTCCCCCCCCCCCCACAATTTTTGTAAATAACTCTGTGAACATACCTAATACTCCTTTGTCTTCCTATTTTCCGCACAACAATCTTGTGACGTGAGTTGGGCTGAGAGAGAGCGACTATCCCAAAGTCAGCCAAGCCAGCTTTCAAGGCTAAGGCAGGTTGATAATCTAAATTTGATTTAAATAAATGTAAATTTATAGTCTAAATGCCATTGGAATCAGTAGGGGATGATAACTAAACTGTCAGAAGTGTTATCCTAAGTGCAAGACAGTCTTTAGGGAGAAGACAAGAGAACTGAGTTTCTTTGCAAATGAGTGGACACCCCAGTTTGCAGAATAGATATATAGCTGCTCTCTCTTTGCTATACCACTAAACTAGAAACATTGTAGGAAGCCAATCAAGAAAAGATAGAGGGAGCAGGGTAAAAAAAAAAAGAGCCATTTAAGGATGTGTGTAGGCAAAAAAAATGACAGAGTAGTACTGTTGCTGTTGCCACCTTGGTTTCCTTTAGCTTGGTTACGTAGACAACAGTGAGATGCTCTCACAATGCTTCTGTGTGGGTGTATAGGGAACAGAAAGACTGCAGAAGATGAGTTGGTAGAAGTTGTAAGTCTGTCTAATACAAAACCACTTTCCCTCCCCCCAACCTCTTAAGTATAGTCACAGTATTTCTAGTATTAAGCTCATGTTAAATTATGGGGGAGGGGGGGCAGAGAAGATACAGTCTGTTGCATAAAGATACTAGTAACTATGTTCACATATTTTCCTAACCATGATTTGTTAAATAAACCTGGGTTTACACATCACACTGAGCAAGAACTAAACAAATTGCATTGTGTCTGTTAATCTTGTCAACGTGCTGCTGGCGGCATGTCAAATTATGCCAGATTGCCAATGCATGAAAAGTCTTCAGTCTTTTAGCCTCATGGAAGAAGGATGTGAGATGGCATCTTCTACTTGGTCATTCGGGAAGCTGTATAGGTGGGATTTGGGGCTGCAGCACAGTTATTGCATGTTTATAATCTTATAATCTCCCATAGACTGGTACGCTCCCACAGAGTGGGTCTCCTCAGGGTGCCGTCGGCCAAACAATGTCGGCTGGCGACCCCCAGGGGGAGGGCCTTCTCTGTGGGTGCCCCCACCCTCTGGAACGAACTACCCCCCCGAGATCCGGACGATTCCGGATCTCCTTACTTTCCGCCGCGCCCTCAAGACATGGCTTTTTCAGCAAGCGGGCCTGACCTAGGGAGGATTTTACTTAGGGAGGATTTTAAGAATAATTTTAATAGGAATAACAGCTTCTAATATTTGGTTTTTAATTTGGTTTTATAGGGGTCTATATTTTTTGTATTTTGTATTTGTACTTGTTTTAATATGCTGTGCACCGCCCTGAGTCCTGCGGGAGAAGGGCGGTATATAAATTAAATTATAAATTAAATTATTATAAATTGTATCCTTCAATACCAATTCACATGAATTGAAAAGAGGAAAATAAAGGCAGAACATGTAAATCCTAGGTATAATTAAGTGGATGTCTGAAATTTTTAACACTAGTTTTGGAAAAAACACCTGTTTAACACCCATATTTTGGATGATAGTAGAGTGACTGTCTTGGAATTTGTGTTCTGTTAGGAGATATCTTTGAGAATTAGTCTAGACTAGGCGTGCACAACATGTAAAGGGCCACAATGATAAATTAAAAAATTAAATGATAAATTAAAAAAAATAATCCTGAGCCACAAAGGAATACTTGGCATGCTGATCAGCGGTTTGATGGCTAGCAGAAGGGCAATTCTGGTGACATACAGCAGCTTGTATCTTAGGATGGCAACACTATTTTTTTTTAAACATGCTGTTGGGCTGCTATTTGTCTATTGTTGATCTAGAATTAGCTGTATTTTTTATTGATGTGTAAAACAAAGTTTTAGTGCCATGCCCATGTAATCAATTAGCATTGTCTATTATACACGTGATGAAAGATTTGGAGAACTCCAGTAGTTTTTAGAATTTTACAACTTCAGGAATAAAATTCAACAGGATAAGTACCAAAAATAACTGACAAAATGTGATATGGAGACATGAGTGCCCATAATATTTTCATGTAGAAATAAGAAACCAAAATGCACACTTCTATGTCGGAGTAGGACTTAAAGATAAGCATCACTAGAATCATTCAGAATTATTCCTTTCTGTTCTTTATCTGCACTTAGAAGGTGAAGTTAGCTGGCCTGATTGAGTAAGCAATAATTATAAGTAAGTTGGAGAAATGTATCTGGGATGCTTCTGAAAATGTTCAGGATTTGTTTTTAAAGAAGTACAGCTAGTCCTCGACTTGCAACCATTTGTTTAGTAACTGTTCAAAGTTACAACAGCACTGAAAAAAGTGACTCACGACTGTTTTTAAACATGTACGGCCATTGCAGCATCCCCGTGATCACATGATCAAAATTCAGCTACTTGGCAACTGGTTCATATTTGTGATGGTTGCAGGATCCCGGGGTCATATGATTGATTACCCTTTATGACAAGCAGAGTCAAGGGGGAAGTCAGATTCAGTTAACAACCATGTTACTTAACTGCAGTGATGCACTTAACAATTGTGCCAAGAAAGGTTGTAAAATAGGGCAAAGCTCACTTGTCTCACTTAGCAACAGAAATGTTGGATTCAATTGTGGTCGTAAATTGAGGGTTGCCTGTATCTTACACTTAGGAAACAGTGAATAGGAAAGAGCTGTGGCATGGAATCACTGAGGAAAGAAGTAAAAGTGGACCATGTTATAGTCATGAAGTATGTGAACAAGAGCAAGAAGATACAATATGTATATCCCATAGAAAAATTCTGCTTTCTAATGAAACATTGCGACATTTCAGTTTGAGTTTTCAATGAAGTTTATTACTTGCACTCTTTTTCCAACTTTTGACTTGGACATGGGAAAGAAACAACCTTAACCTGGTAGATAATGTGAATCTGGAATGTCCAACCACAATAATTCTCAGTTGAAATAGTGGCGAACATCTCTGATGACTCATACCTGGCCCATCACAAGACTCTCACTTGACACTCCCACACCTGAAGCCCTTATATAAGAACACTGACACAGACATCCCCTAAACACTGCTGAAGATGTTACCTAGCCTGGTAACACAACGTTCGGAAATCATCCCTCAAACTCAGAGAACGAACCTTCATCCTAATTCTCAGTTGTATCTGCTCATCGTACTTTTGTCTAGTTAAAGTAGGATTGAGACTGATAGGCAGTGGCATCAGTCCTTTAAAGTAAGCCACACTCTATAGTGATGGGAGATTTCTCTACCACTTAATACTTTCAATACAATATTAGATGGATCCATTTCCTTTTCTGTTTTTTTTTTTTTTTTAATCAACCTGAAACCTCTGAAGAGAGCAATTTGGAGATTGGGCTAAAGCATAATGAGGATGTATACAGTTGGCAAATAACTGCCTCCTATTTCTGACCATCCCATGTAGTCTGAGAGTTCTTGAATTGGTGTCTGGATACAGTTTCTTTAAAATATGAGAATAAACAAAATGAATTTCAGTGTGGACTGATAGGATACGATTACTGGTGGGCAAGGCAGATAAAATTGTGGTATTGTCCAAAGTTTGTAGCTTCACACTCTCTGGATTTTGTACTCTGTATGGAAGCACATAAAGTGGCACTAGAGCTTAAAAGTGTCTCATTGCCTTTGGATTTGCTATTTATAACTAAGCTCTTTGTTTATAAAACATTTATTTGTTTATAACATACTTATAAAACATTTACCCACTTTTCAACATTAAAGTTTCCCAAATGAAATATAGGTGCTTGCATATAGTATGGATGCTTCAGATACCATATAGGACAGCTGCTTGTATGCTTGCTGGTGCTAAATAATAGAGTGCATTCATCCACTTTTAAAGCCTATTCACTTCCTGCCCCTATTTGAAGTGTTGCTACTAAACTCTCGAGCTCTAAATCTAAGCTAAGGTACAGTATTTCCCCCTACAGACATTTGTATGGATCAGCTGGTTGATTAAAAAACAAAGCTTTTTGTAACGGTCCTATTCGAATAAATATCCTACCTTCCCAACAGATCCTAAATATGTTCAATTCAAGCTATTTTGAATAGGAAGTTGCATTGGTTTAGGGAAGCTTTCATTTTGATTATGTTTAAAATAATAGTGTTACAGTGATTTTCTACATCACACTGCTTACCTAGCAGATGACTTAGTGGGAAAGGGTGATCCCTGAAAGGAGAAAGTTCAAAACTACTGCTGTATATTACCCACTTGGTCAAAAACTACTGCTTGGTGTTACACTTTTGCTTTTGTTTTAATCAAACCCCTTATTTTTTTCTGTTTTATGAAATGTCTGTGTGTGCGTTCCTGAAACTAGATAATTGGTGATGGAAATGAATTTGCTTGTAACTGGGACAAAGATACATTTTCCCTTGCAAATCAGAATATAAAAGAACAAAGAGTCCAGGTTGTCTGTGCAGAGTCGACATCTGGAGGCTGTTCAGCCCAGTTTGAATAGGCTGCAATGTATTCATTTTAAGTTCTCCCCTTTTCTTCCCCCCTGCAGCCCATGTATGTTCTCAAAAGTCTGTGAATTTCAAGTAACACTAAATAAAGGAGTGAAAGAAAAGCAGACAGCTTTTTTTTTTTTTTGTAAACAGTGTCTGAAGGGATACCATGGAAAACTTTACAATGCCAGCATACCTTTAAGACAGGCAAGCGTGGAGAATTGGTTCCATTGGTTTGCAGCTGCTTTTTTTTTATCTTTGAACAATAGAGGATCAGAAATGCTTTCTGCATTCATTTTTTTTTTCCAGTAAAAAAGCATAATAATCCACATGGGACACTTTCATCACAAATGACTTGCAGGCCTTAAATCAGGAGGACTTCATACCCACTGACTAAAGCCTTTTCTTTGCATGCTTGTATCATACTGCTAAAATGGTAGTTTTGGAATTATTTCTGTTTGTATTGAGCAGTTGCACAAGTCTCATATATCTGCATGTATTTTCTTAATTTTAATTTAAAGCTCTTAACCCCTCCCCTCTACAAAACGTAAGTTCACCATTGATCTTTTATGTATGTTGTATTGTCCACAGTGTCCTCAGCAGTGATGAAAGTGACTTGCTGCTAACTAGTCTTTGTTGCATCTGTAGTTACTGAACGGAAGGGGAGGGGGTCTGTTACCCCCATAACAAAGCCGTTATAGTTTTGCAGGGATAAGTTCAAACAGCCCAAAACTAATTGCTGTATTTGGGCTATAATTCTAACACATGCTGCCCAGAATTCAAAAGCTAAATTTGTTCTTTCTTCTTTCCACCCCTCCCCCTCCAAATTCTGCCCATTTCTCAGTCCAAGTGGGAAGAAATTCCGCAGTAAACCTCAGCTGGCCCGTTACTTGGGTAACTCCATGGACCTGAGCACGTTTGACTTCCGAACAGGGAAGATGCTAATGAGCAAGGTGAACAAAAACCGGCAAAGGATGCGGTATGACTGTTCAAGCCAAACCAAGGTGAGGCTGATCATCTTTTCCTCTCTTTTTTAAAAAATTTGGATACCCTATTGGCTGCAGGGAGAGAATTACGGTTGATTTCTAAATGCACACAGTGATATGCCTTATTAACTCTATTTACTTTTGTCATTAATGCTCTTTCTTTAATAACTTGTGCTTGAAGCAGATGGCATTTAAAATAGATTTCACATTAAAAAAATTCTAAAGTACATCTCGGCAAAAGGGAGACAAAAACATATCCAAGATTCTTGATTCTAAACAAAATGTCTGGTTGAATCGAATCATCTTATTTTATATGTGTGTATGTTTCATTAAACATTGCTGTTAAGCAGATACAAATACAAACTAGAAAAAAATAAAGTTGCAAAAAAACAAGAGAGAGAAAAATGGTGGGGTCAAGGAAGAGGGTGTTTTCTACCCTGCCCCTGCTTTAGGGAACCTCCCAATCTCTTGGCCTTCTGCAAAGGGGTCAGAACCTGGCTGTGTAACCTTGCACGGGGGACCCAGGAGCCCACATAGCCATGGGGCTGGTTAGCCCCTTGAGAAGCCCCCCTCGGACGCCTCTATTAACAACTCCTAGTCTCCCCATCTTGGAATTCTTTAATAATTTTTAATTATTTGGTTTTTAATGTTTTATTATATTGATTAAATTGTATACCTCCCAGATCCCCTCTGTGAGGGATAGGTAGACAGACAGATGTAATAAAACAAAAAAAGAGAAAAGAATTATAAAGAAATCCTTTGCTATTTGTCATAACAATTATAAACAATTTTAACAACCACTTTCTCTCAAAATACAACAATCTCTTTTATCTATAAACAAATCCTTAAAACTTCATCATTCAGTCCTAGTCATCAAAAGTCCATTAAGGGTTACCAAAAAACAGATATGACAATATATCTATTTTATCTTGATCAAATAAACCCACTGTATACGCCTTTCACTTTTAACAATCTTGGTCTTTAATCCCTTCAAATAGTGTTCTAAAGCTTTTTACTTTTCATTTTTCTTTCTCTCTTCTCACTGAATCCTTCAGAACTTTAACATGTCTCTTTTGTAAACCCAACATAAGAAAGTCATTCTTTTGGGTATGCCGTTTCTATATCCCTTTTTAATTATTAAGGTTTCATTTATATACCTAGTGCAACATCTTTTTCGATATTCTTATAGCCTGTCATTTTTAAATCTAAGATCCATCTCAGTTTTGTCTGGTAAAACTTGTTCCTCTTCCAAAACATTTTTGAAAGACTATCTATAATGGCAGACACTTTTAAGATTAACTTCTGGATCCATTGCTCACAAACAAATCTCCAACATGTTCAATGTTAAAGTATTTTATTCCATTCTGTGTTAGTAATTTGAATTTAAGTGTTCTCCTTTAATTGTAATCTTTAGGAGTTTCTAACTTGTCTGGTGTCTAACATTCAAATATCCATTTCCTTTAAAAAATTTAAAATAGCAGCATTTTCCCATGGGAAGGATTCTTGTGATTAATTTTAAAATCTTATTTCAAATCCATCTTAGTCCATTTATGACTTTCTAAAATCAATGTTGTAGTTATCCTTTTGCTATTTATTCTAAAAGGCTTTTTATACCTTTAAAACATCTTTAAAAAGTTCTATAGCTAAGAATTAAAGGAAAAATCTGGTGTATGTTATAAAACTTGTTGATCAAAAGGTTCTTAATAGTTGAAAATCAGCTAAGAACCAAACGTGATTAGAAAATGAGGTTCAGCAGAACTTTGTCTCCATAAGACTACATTGTGGCTATGAGCTTGATGGAATCCCTTGATTCTCAACTGTTTAACTCGCAAGCCATTAGTTATGAGGAGTGGCTGTCCGGAACGCACATGGGCTATCTCACAATCTCTCCTTTATCCAGAGAGACTCGACTGGTCAGAAATTACTGTCTGGCTGCTGATCTTGCTTTCTGCTCCTTCAGAGACATCTAGTTTGCCATGAATTCTCGTCGGAAGAGAATTAAATGATCTTAAAAACATAACAAGCTATGAACAAAAAGGGGTGGATTGGGGAACTCCGTTTTTAGATAATTTCTGTAGTTTACTATTCCTGACCAAGTTACTATTTTATGACAAAGCATGAAGGGGAAATGAAGGTCTGGGATCCATCTTACATATTCCCAGAATAGAAGTGGACATTAGCTGTAGATATTGGGAATTGAACCTAGGACCCTCTGTACGCTAAGTAAATGCTAAGGAAGGGCTTTTCCCTCCTTGTCTAAGAGGGCAGACTTTGCCCTCAGTCATCAGTCAAGCTGCATTGTGTGTATACTATGTTGTTTTTCATAGACATGAATGGCTGGCAGTTGTAGATTTAATTAACTGCATTAAACTTTGTTGATTTCAGATATTATGAATTAAGGCTCCTATTATTTATTTTTTTAGTGTTCATTTAGCACCTTCTATAGACTTCCCACCTCTGTGTGATGCATACAAGCAAACTGATATGGAATATCTGATCAGTTAAAATTATTTTAAAAATCTACACCACAAATCACCATCATCATCATGGCAGTAACAAAAACAGATAACTGCTTATAATCACCCTAGAGATCAAAAGCTTGCTGAAATAAAATTATTTTCAGGCTTTTCTGATCACAGCAAATGTATGACTGATTGGATCTCCAGTGATAAAATCAGAATTGAATCTTAGAAGCCATCTGCTCTAACCTTCTATTCAGTGTAGGATCCATTAGCGCAGCAGCCTTATGCTCATAGACCTATACAGGTAGTCCTTGACTTAGGACCACAATTAAGCCCAAAATTTCTGTTGATAAGTGAGACACTTACATGAGTTTTGCCCCATTTTACAATCTTGTTTTGCCACCGTTAAGTGAATCATTATAGTAACATGGTTATTCGATTAATCTGGCTTCCCCAGTAACTGCTTGTCAGAAGATCGTAAAAAGTGATCACACGGCCCCAGGTCACTGTAACCGTCATAAATAAATTTTGGTTGCCAAGCATCTGAATTTTTATTATGTGACCATGGGGATGTCGCAACATCTGTAAGTGTGAAAAAAGAACATGAGTCACTTTTTTCAGTGCTGTTGTAACTTTGAATGGTCACTCAAGAAAGGGTTTTAGGCCAAGGGCTACCTGTACTAATTTGTAGCTTTTTATCACTCTAAAGTACATCACAATGTTCGTTTTGCAAATTTTATTAATTTTCAAATAGACAAGTTAATACAAATATGGTGCACATAAAAAAAGAGAAAAAAAACCCATTAAACATCTTATTTTCGGAGGTGATCGGCAGTCCCCCCCCCACATCCACCCTCTCTTTCACCCTTCCTACCTACTTCCCTCTCCTTTCCTCCCCTCCTACCCACACCTCTCTCCTCTTTCTCTTCCAACTACCCTACACATCCCTCCTCCTTCTTTTCCTCAACCTTTGGATGCAGTTTGGGGGTACCAGCTGACCACCTTCTCTTCACAAAAAAAAATTACATTATTTCTCTTTAACATAGTAATACACCAAATTTTATATAACTCTACCCCCTTCCCCCCTCCCCCCCCCCCGGACTTCCCAGAACTGAATACAGGGATAAGCACATAACATCCCAAATCTAAATAAAGCTACCCAAACATAATACAATCAAATATTAATATACTTTAACTCTAATATACAATAATAAACATAAATATAAAATATAATAATATATAAATTATACTAAGTAAATAAAAATTATAAAAAATTTAATCAAAAGCAATATGATAATTATTCATTTCATACTTTCTCTGAATATAATCTATCCATCTTCTCCATACCAAAATAAATTTTTCTTGAGATTGATCTTTCAAATATGCGGAAATCTTGGCCATTTCTGCAAAATATGACACCTTCAATCTCCAATGTTGATATGGCTTACTGTACATACATACTTAGACTCCTAAAGTTGCCTTATATGAAGATAAGCTGTTGATCTAAGGCGGGGTTAGGCAACCTTGGCTCTTTTATGACTTGTGGACTTCAACTCCCAGAATTCCTGAGCCAGCCAGGCTGAGGGGAAAGAGAGTTTCCAAGCTGAGCCATGCTGGCTCAGGAATTCTGGGAGTTGAAGTCCATGAGTCATAAAAGAGCTAAGGTTGTCTACCCCTGACCTAAGGCTTGAACTAAGATGGCGCTAAAGAGCAGTCTGGATACTCTTTAAAAAGCTGTATGGTATTGGGAGGAAAAACTGATAATTCATCATCAAGATAGATATGAAGGAAAAACAACTCTGTCCTCCTGTCATTCCTGACAAGAAAATCCTCTTGCTGCCAATGGGGAGAATTCAGTGTAGCCAAAAAAAAAGTTTCTTTTATCAAGTGATTTCTCCATAATCACAGTGTAAGGAAAGGGTTATTTTTCTGGTCATGTATCTTTAAAAAAAAATCTGTTATTTATTAAGACATATTTAACTTCCAGTAGACTTTTAAGTTTTAGGAGTCTTGAAAATGTTTAGAATCAAGCCACTTCAATTGCAAAATTGTCAGTTTGAACCATTTTGAAACTCTTCCAATTCAAAATCAAATCTTTGTGGTTAGAACATAGCCGTTTCTGGCTAAAAATGCTCAGCCTATTCACAGCTGATTCGCATTTGAAACAGTATTTCGGATTAGAAACAATTTGATTCAAAACATTTTTGCATCATCATGAACTCCATAATGTTCTGGACAGAGATCTTAGTTTAATTTTGGAATGATTTTTTTTTATTGCTCACTTCCTATCCTCTCAAATCCTTAGGGTAAACCTGATTTAAACACCACACTTCCTGTGAGGCAGACAGCTTCAATTTTTAAACAACCAGTCACTAAGATCACAAACCATCCCAGCAACAAAGTGAAGACAGACCCCCAAAAAGCAGTTGATCAACCCCGACAGGTAAGAGGTGGGGGGTTTGATTTGAAATATTTTCCAAATGATCTCATAGAAAACTTGACTGGGAAGCAGAGGCCTAATCAAAGCTGAGCAGCAATATGAGCCTTGATTTCTGCTTTGAAGTCAGTCTGCTTTGTCCATTATACCACATTAGGTTATTGTAATATTGTTAAAAGACTCCTATTAAATCCACCTAATCCAGCATCTTATTTCAGGAGTGGTTAGCCAGAAGTTGCAAGGATGTCTGCAAGGAATATAAATTGCCAGCAAGTATATCCCATGATCATGGGTTGCATGAAAACACCTAACTGAGGCAGGAAAAGATTGCTCATAATGGTTTTTTCTCCCTTTTCAGATTAATGTGAAGTAAAATCTGAAACTGTAGACCTTGGGGCTGCATGCAGGTTGCTAGCATTCCTTTCATACTCACAGAGCACCTTCTCCCAAGTGGATGGGGCCACTGTTGGCCCGTTTTTACATATTTTGGTATTTTTAGAGTTTAAAAGGGGGAAATCCTTGATAACCTCTATGGTCTAGTGCAGGAGTAGTCAACCTTGGCTCTTTTATGACTCGTGGACTTCAACTCCCAGAATTCCTGAGCCAGCACAGCTGTGCTGCTCAGGAATTCTGGGAGTTGAAGTCCACGAGTCATAAAAGAGCCAAGGTTGACTACCCTTGGTCTAGTGGTTAAGGCACCAGGCTAGAAAGCAAGAGACCGCAAGTTCAAGTCCCACCTTAGCCAGAAAAGTCTTGTCCAATAGAGAGCTGCAAAACTCATCAATCTGGGAATGGGCCATTCTGGTAAATTCAATAAATAAAATAAATTCAATAAATAAAATAAATAAATTCTGGTAAATTCAATAAATAAAATAAATAAATTCTAGAAAAATTCCATTTCTCTCCAAACTGGGAATGATTCAAGATGCTATGGACAAAATAGGTCTGGTGTTCGGCCATAAATCCTAAACCAATTCCGTTCAGAAGCTAATTCTGGAAATTACTGAACTCTCCCATCCCAACCCCAAAAGTGTTATAGTCTGGAGGGAACCACAACATTCTGAATTGTCTGAAATGTTGAATTCTCAAATTGACAATTTTTGCACCCCCCTATTCTAGAGATTTAAAAATGCCTTGGATGGGAAGACAATATCAGAGTAAAATCCAATGTTTCACAACATGGTATCCTCCCAATAACGTGGACTGCTTCACTTTCAATCATTATTCATGCCAGCTTGTGCTGATGGGAGTTGTAGTCCAAAACAAAAATCCTCCAGACTCTGCCGCCTCCCTCAGCTCTTGACCAGCAGTTGATCTATTCAGTTACAGAAATGTAAAGAATGGAAGCTGGCCATTACAGTTATTTGTTTCCCCTCTCTGAATTGTTTGCTTTCCTGCATTAGAAATGGTCACTGTAAGACCTTGTTCCTGAGTCAGCTTCCTATCCAAACTTTTCTCCCGTCTTTTTAGATGATAAATCTGGGAATGGGGCATTATGTATACACCATTCAGGAATCTTTAAAGACACAGTGAGCTAAAATGCTGTTAGGCTGAATAACATCTGAGGAATGCATACTGGGAAACATTATACAGGGGTAGGCAACCTTGGCTCTTTTATGACTCGTGGACTTCAACTCCCAGAATTCCTGAGCTAGCATGGCTAGTTCAGGAATTCTGGGAGTTGAAGTCCACGAGTCATAAAAGAGCCAAGGTTGCCTACCCCTGCACTAGAATTAGATGGGAAAATGACATACTGCAGGGTTTTTAAAGACGTGTAACAGACTCATAACTTTTCTTTCCCCTTCTTCCCCACTGACACCCCCCCTTTTTTTTCTTTTTTTTTTACAAAAATTAATTATTTTTCTCTTTTTAGCTCTTCTGGGAAAAGAAACTAAGTGGCTTAAATGCCTTTGACATTGCAGAGGAGCTGGTGAAAACAATGGACCTTCCAAAGGGTTTGCAAGGTACTTTCAACAACTGTTGACAGAGAACTGAACTGCTGATGGCAGTGACCCAAGTTCCTCAGATCATGAAGCTGATTATTTAATTGGAAATATTTTACATTCCACTTCTCCACTATCGAAAATCCTTCAGAGCATTTGACCGTTATGATAAAAATAATGATTTTTATAGTAAGCCTCAATTTTTAAGAGTGTTGCTATCAAACAAATAAATGATTGGGTCATAAAGACAAATGTTTAGATAGGTTGAATGAATAGAGCATTCTTAGCACAATGCCATAAATATATCTATATATGCTGGATGCAAGACAATTTTTTTCCTAAGCTATTGTTCCATCATATAGAAGGTAAATATTTATGTCTATCCATATATTCATTTCAGTAATGAAAGCTTTAATTCTCCCTCGTTCACAATCCTTGAATTGTTTTCAAGAGTTTTTAATAAAGGAGAATATTTGTAGCTCAGGATTGAAATTGAGGGGTCCTTAGTGCTTCCCGAGCTTGGTTGTTTTCTTGAAGATGTTTCGTTACCCAAATGTCTGCAAGCAAACAGCCAAGCTCACAGAGCACCAGGGACGCCTCATGACGTTTCTGGCTAGAATCTCCTCTTTTGTATAAATTGCTCTTTCCTAAGCTCCATCTCAGAAGTGATCCAGTCATTAGGATACAGGAGGATCTGGACAGACTTGAACACTGGACGCTATCTAACAAAATGAAATTTGATGGTGAAAAAAGTAAGGTTCTACATTTAGGCAAGAAAACCCAAATGTACAGGTATAGTATAGGGGGTACCTTGCTCAATAGTAGTAACTGTGAGAGGGACCTCGGAGTCCTAGTGGACAATCACTTAAATATGAGCCAGCAGTGTGCTGCAGCTGCCAAAAAGGCCAACACAGTGCTGGGCTGCATTAACAGAGGGATAGAATCAAGATCACGTGAAGTATTAATACCACTTTACAATGCCTTAGTAAGGCCACACTTGGAATACTGCATCCAGTGTTGGTCACCACGATGTAAAAAAGATGTTGAGACTCTAGAAAGAGTACAGAGAAGAGCAATAAAGATGATTAGGGGACTGGAGGCTAAAGCATATAAGGAACGGCTGCTGGAATTGGGTATGTCTAGTTTAACGAAGAGAAGGACGAGGGGGGACATGAGAGCAGTGTTCCAATATCTCAGGGGCTGCCACAAAGAAGAGGGAGTCAAGCTATTCTCCAAAGCGCCTGAAGGCAGGACAAGAAGCAACGGATGGAAACTAACCAAGGAGAGAAGCAACCTAGAACTAAGGAGAAACTTCCTGACAGTTAGAACAATTAGTGGAACAACCTGCCTCCAGATGTGATGAATGCTCTAACACTGGAAGTTTTTAAGAAGAGACTGGTCAGCCATTTGTCCGAAATGGTATAGGGTTTCCTGCCTGAGCAGGGGGTTGGACTAGATGACCTCCAAGGTCCCTTCCAACTTTATTATTATTATTATTATTATTATTATTATTATTATTATTATTATTATTATTATAGATTCCAGTTTCCTTCCTTTCTGCACTTAGATGTCTCATCATAACCAGCTGCTTAAACTATTAGTTAAAAATACAAAATACCTTTTTAAAAATCTCACTGTTCGCTGACATGTGCATAAAATGAGACACACACTCATTTTGTGCCCCTTATCCTCAGGAAAACAAAACAGAGCAAGGGAAGAGAAGGGAGGAAAGAGCTTAATTCTATCTCTTCTCCTGGAAGGCACAGGGCTTAAACTGTTTGGAGGCTAATCCTGCCCTCTAGGATTAAAGGAGGAAAGGCTTTCCACCTTAGTTGTGTTTCTAGGCCAAGAGGTTAAAAAAAAGTAGAGGAAGAAGAATTTTTTTTTTAAAAAAAATAAAGTCTTGAAGAAGCTTTAGCTTTAGGAATAGGGATTTAAATTTGAATCTCAGCTCTCCACTGTAGCTAGTGCCCGACACTGCTGTCAGCCTATCATGGAGTATATTTGTGCCTTAAACCTGACGGTGCTGATCAGTAGGAATTTTGTAATAGCATCAGCAAAAAAGACAAGAATCATTTATTAACTATTATCCTGCTGTACCTCTTTAGGTGTGGGACCTGGATGTACTGATGAGACTCTCCTTTCAGCCATTGCCAGTGCCTTGCATACCAGCACAATGCCCATCACTGGGCAGCTCTCTGCTGCTGTTGAGAAAAACCCCGGAGTCTGGCTGAATACTTCTCAACCTCTCTGCAAAGCCTTCATGGTGACTGATGAAGACATCAGGTAGTAAAGCCTGACTCTCCCAGGGCAGGAGGTGAATTTCTCCCCCTGGTGTTTTATGTAGTGCTAGAATTTGTTAGATGCTTAGAAACATCTATGCTTCTGTCCTCAACAAAAAAAATATGTTGTGAAATGCAATTATCTGCCTACAGTGGAGCCCGGGCATTCATTCTCAGTCTAATTCACAGGCAGGGCTACAAACATTTAATGTTGTTTCCAGCAAGAGCAGATAGATTCTGTGCCAAGTTCCTGTCCTCCCCTGTTCTTGAAAACACACAAGGCTACCACAACTGCAGCCTGACCACAATTCGGTCAATTGAGATCTTTTTTTTTTTCTACAGTGGTACCTCAGTACTTATCATTACTTGGTTCCAGGAGGCGTGACAAGTACTAAAAATGCCAAACAAAGTGCCAAACAAAGCATTTACCACATAATCCTTTGGTTTCAGCCGGGAAGGACTTCTGTCTGTCCCTTTTCCTACGTCAGTGACCTTCCCAGCGTGGCCATCTTCCTATCTGCCCTTTGTGGCCATCCCCCTCTTCTTTTTGCAGCAACCTTCCCAGCAAGGCTAACTTCCTGTCCGTTCTCCGCAGCTGTCCCCCTTTTCCTATTGTAGCACGTCAAGTACCAAACAAACAAACAAGTACCAGGACAACATTTTCGTGTCAAAATGCGTTGAATACTAAATTTGATTAGTTTTGAAGCTATCAAATATCAAGCTACTTTTGGGGGGGGGGGTGTTTCATAATTTTGGTAAGGGATTCATGGCCAGCAAGCTCACCAACAGCATTTGGGACACAGTGAAGGAACTCTCTAAGTGTCAAGGGCAAGTAGGCATGCCAGCATCTAGCAGTGCAACAGTATGCTCGGACAATACACTGCATGACTCCGAAAGAAATCTGGTAAGTGCTATGGCAGCCACGAAGCAGAAACTGCTTGTAGCCACGGTATGCTTGTTGCTGTTCCACTGTAGCCTATATTGTTGTTCTCAAGAATACATACGTAATAGCTGATTTCATCCCCACCAGTCAAATAGATCTGAGATTTAATTGGTAGGGAAGAGAATCCCCAAACACAACACCTGGGTATCATCCTTACACAAAAGAGAACCCACATCAGAGGTGAGAAGTCCGTACTATTGACAACTTACATTAGATCTTTAGATCAGTTGCCCTGTTCATGAATCTCACAAGTCTCCAGAGCTAGACGATTACCTGCACAGATTCAGTAAGCTCACTTTGTGCCTTTTTGGCTGTTCTCTCTCATTCCAATTTCATAAGATGGTGGTGGTGGAGAAATTAAAAGAGGAACTACTGCCTATTCAATCTTGAACTACTGAATGATCCTATTACTCTTCGATAATTTACCTCTTCCCTGATAGCAGGATTTCTCCACTTAGATCTGCTGCATGCAACAAAGGAATAGATACAACGTGTGCTGGGGGTATTTATTTAAGTATTTTTCCCTCTCCAGGAAACAAGAAGAGCTGGTTCAGCAAGTGAGGAAGAGGCTAGAGGAAGCCTTGATGGCTGACATGCTTGCTCACGTGGAAGAGATAGCAAGGGATGGTGAGACACCTGCAGTAAAGGGTAATGAAGAAGAGGAAGAGGAGGAGGAAGAGGATGATCGTGGACAGGAGATGGAAAATGTATAGTCCAGGTAGCACAGTTCCACATTAATACCTTTTCCCCATCACGCATATGTTTGCAGTGCCATTTTGATGTTTTCCCCACATCAAGAAGCTTGAAGAAGCTCAGAGTTTCTGATATTTCTTGATATTTATCATCAGGCTCAATATTTGCAATGAAGGATAGCATTTTTCAAGATTTTAAGAAAACACTTTTCCAATCATTTCTTCCATTTCCATTTTAACTAGAAGGGACTTTTAGTGGAGATTAGATGGTATTCTTGGTATGTCCCAAAGAAGGGGGGGGGGTTAGATGGTATTCTTGGTATGTCCCAAAGATGCTTTTTCAAGAGGCAAATAGACTTTCTTGAAAGAAAGTCCAGTTGCCTCTTGAAAAAACACCTTTGGGAAAACCATGACCTGGATAACTGTGAGAATCTCCATAGACCAGTGTTTCTCAACCTTGACAATTTTAAGGCATGTGGACTTCAACTCCCAGAATTCCACAGCCAGCATTGCTGGCTGTGGAATTCTGGGAGTTGAAGTCCACATGCCTTAAAATTGTCAAGGTTGAGAAACACTGCCATAGACAAATTCTTGGTTATGTTCTTGATCCTGAAATCAAGTTGGCTTGGCCTGTTTTTTGACTGGAGAGGCTACAGTCTTGACCTCTCCTGAATGTTGAATAGCAAGTACACATGGACCTTTAGAATAGGAAAACATTCCTTGAACATAGAGATTATTTGGAAACCCACCCATCCATAGTCACAGGCAGTGGTCTTGATCTTGCTACATGCTAATGTGGCTTGATGTAGAGAGGACTTCTTCACCATTATTATAGATATATTTGTATTTGTATTGTGGTTTTTATGAGGCTGTTAGCCGCCCTGAGTCCCATGAGGAGAAGGGCGGGGTACAAATTAAATTAATAAATTAATAAAAATAAATAGAATCATAGGGTTGGAAGGGGCCTTGAAGGGCATCTAGTCCAGCCCCTGCCCAAGCTAGGAATCTTATTATTCTCTCTCCCAGCCCATCCCAGCCCATCCCAGGGTACCTTTTGGAGCCATATCTCCCATGCTTTGTAGCTGATCAAGTGTCTCTTTTCCTTCAGGGTGTTTTTCTCCAGAACTAGCCTGCACTTGGTCCACATAGAGGCAAGTGCATCTTCAGAATGCTGTGCACTAACTGTTATCTGCGTATGTGAACATGTTTGGCTTCAGTTCACAAGAAGCTGAAGGGACCAGTCAGACTGAGTAGTTTGAAGAAGGACTTGCTAAGCTCAGTTTTTTCTTTCCTCTGCCCCCTCATTTTTCTCTTAAAAGTATCTCTTAAAAGTATCATAGAGGAATCAAAAAAGTCATATGAACATAATCCCTTTATCTTATTTCCAGACCAATAATTGAAACAGGTTTCCCAAGTCTCTTTCTAATAGTGTCTGCATGCCCTAAACGAATTGGCTTAACCCAGAGATGTCATGAAGAATTTTTTTTTTTTAAGTTTTCTCTATGTATTTGAAATTACATGTAACAAAATATTTTTGGTGGTATAGGTAAGCTATTCCACTTGTAAAATCTTGCCGTGGGGTCTTTATTTTCTTATCTGATTGTTTAATTTGGGTTCGTTTTATTTGCTTTTAAAAAAAAAAAAACTCCCATCAACAGAACGTGCCTTTCCATGTGGACTGGGAAATTGAGCCCCCAAAGCTATACAGATCCACATTTTTATCAAAGTCCCCTTCTTCTGCATGAATATAAAATGACATAGAACTATAATTCATGTAGGACTTGATGAGCACAAACCATTGTGGAAAGAATATTAAATGATGATCATAATCATCCAATCAGAGAAAATGTAACCAAAAGGTGATGTGTGAGTTTTTAGCAACTATTTGAAAGAAAGGATTACTTAGTGCTATTGATCTCCTCTTGTTCTATAACTGAATTAGTCGCTGGGGGGGGGGTTGCCTTTGTCTGATATAATTAAATGCTTTTCAAATAGTAATATTAAATTGCTAACATAATTTGAGGAGAAGCAAACAAACCAGTCCAGTTGTAAATGACACAGAATTTGCCTTAATGAGTTCCACCTCAGCTGGGATTAGGTTACTAGAAACACAAATAATAACATCTTTGCTCTTGCTTGCTTCCTAATGCATACTGTCTCTAAATAAATGGTCATCAACATGATACTTTCAGTGCTAGATTTTAAATTTCAGGATTAGATGACAGTACTACATCTCTCTTTTAAAAGAAAAAAGAAAGCCAGGGCTGATGGAAACCTTGTTCATGAATCCTGGCTAGATTTTACATTATTTTGGAAATGTGGGATGTATCTTCCTTTTTAATTTCCAAAATTAGAAATGTGATCTAAATGGGCCTAATACAGCTCTTTTCATTTTGGACTTATAAAAGAAATTCAGGATTTTGGTCCAGAAGTCTCTATTTAATTGTTTTCAGATTTTTGAGTATTTGGTTGAAATCCATCATGTATATTTCTCTTCTGCTCTTGCATGCACATAAGAGTTTTAGTCCCTGCTTGGTTTCTTTTCTTTGTTTATTTGGAGCAACCTCTCAGCATATAATTCCTAGGAAATATCATAAATTATTGTTTTAAGCTTTTTATGCTGCAAAATCATGCTGCGTGCTTAAGTTGTGCTAGGATGAAGCTGCAACTACAGTAGTGCGCAAATGTGTAAAGCCCTGTTGATAAGGAAATACAGTCTGGCTGTCTTCAAGCCAGAGCGATGCATTTCTTTCCTTTTTAACAAATGATTTGATAGTGTGTAGTGTTCATTAACAAGAATTTAGAAAATTCTTCGATCCTTTGTCTTTCAAATACACACTCATCACCACTATCGCCACCTTACCACTAATATGTACCTTAATTGTAACAGTATCTTAATGTACAGTCTTGTTGGGGAATATTAGTTTTGTAATAAAATGTTTTTCATACATTTAATTTTTCATGTATTACTGTTTGTTGAGGAAATATAGTAAAATACGGATAGCATAACTTTTCAAATAATGTTACTCCCAATCGTAGACCTGGAAAAGGGGGTGAAGTTAAAAAAAATGTATGTAGCAGTCCCATAATGAAAGAGATTCAAAGCAGGCAGAAGAATGCTATAGGGCAGGGGTAGTCAACCTTGGCTCTTTTATGACTCGTGGACTTCAACTCCCAGAATTCCTGAGCCAGCTAAGCTGGCTCAGGAATTCTGGGAATTGAAGTCCACGAGTCATAAAAGAGCCAAGGTTGACTACCCCTGCTATAGGGATTTAAGAAGTCCTGGGTTGAGTAATGACGGTCATTAGATCAGATGACAGGTTTTCATGAGCAAAGGAAGTCCACTGAATAGTTCCATGGAAACAACAGAGAATGAAAGTTTTGGTTTTCATTCCTTTCTTGGAAGTACTTTAGAGTCCCAAATGGTTAAGACTTTTCCCTACAGGGCAACATTACAATTGTGGTTAGTTTAAAAAAAACCCACAAAAAATATAAATAAAAACTGAATAGAGCACCAGTTTGGTTCAGTGGTTAAGGCAGTGGTTCTCAACCTTTTTAATGCCGCGACCCCAACCGGTTGTAAGTCGAGGACTTTCCCTGCCCGGGAGCACCGCGCATGCGTGGTTCTGCCCCCTGCACCGGCCGAGGCGTAGCTGGCAAGCGGCAGAGACGGAGCAGGCCAACCACCAGCTGGCCCAGCCCAAGGGAGGTAAGGCACCCACTGGAAAAGGGGGAAAAAATGGCAGACAAAAAAAATGGCGGACAGCCTTGCTTGGCGACCCCCATGAAATGGTCGATCGACCCCAAATGGGGTCCCGACCCACAGGTTGAGAACCACTGGGTTAAGGTATCAGGCTAGAAACCAGGAAAACATGAGTTCTAGTCCTGCCGTGGTCACAAAGCCAGTTGGGTAACCATGGGCCAGTCCCTTTCTCAGCCTTTAGAACAGACATGTCAAACTCGTGACATCACACAGCGTATCGGGATGGTTTTGCCATTGCTGGCAATGGGGTGGGCGCGGCTTCCGGGTGACGCGTCCGGCCCGCAGGCCGGCAGTTTGACACCCCTGCTTTAGAAAAAGGCTTTTAAAAATTCGGTAAACTACTTTCAAAAACTTGCATAGAAAACTGCAGTCACCAGGAATCAGCACCCCAAAAAAGCACAACTAATGTGTAAAATGAATGATTGCTAATGTTCAGACAGAATGGAGACCAGTTGTGATGGAATATATATTTCCAGGTTCAACACACTAATATTATTTGCAGGGCAGCTTGAATTAGGTGAAGCCATTTTAGCATATTCTGTTTAAGGATTTCTCATAGTCAAGTAATTGGGAATTAATAGGTTGCTGGTCTGATCAGCATTGCTGAGGTGCAAGAAAAACAACCGTTTATGAGAACTGCTATAAGCCCCCCAGGGTTGAAGTTGTGTCTCTTGCCCAGTGAAAAAGTTGGAGAGCAGGGATAAAAGATGTAACTTCTTAAAGGGATGCTTTCCTATCCTGCAAATTAAATAATATGTGACATGGGTTTTCCTGCTTGAATGCCAATTATAAATATCTCTGTATGAAATATTAATAAAAGGAGAAGCTGCTTATTCGTAACAAGCATTCTCAGGTTTAAAGTACTTCACTTAGAAAGAGGAGGCTACTCTTCATTGCTGATACTTTCGGCTGTTAACAGGGCCTAAAAGAGCAAGTTTTGGTAACGTTTCAGGGTTGAAGTTATATCAACATTTCCTGATAACTGGAGCAGTGCCACCTAAGTGCCAACTTTTATAGAGCTATTATTATAAAGTGGAAAATCTGAATTTTTTTCAGTATCTAAAATGTTTAGGGAGGGAGGGAGATTAGTTATAATGACAAGCCCATAGCCCTGTATCCATCTAAAATCTCCATAAATGATCAGTACACCTACAGCAGACATGTGAAACACAAGGCCCGGGGGCCGGATGCGGCCCGCAAAGTGGTTTCATGTGGCCCACAAAGCCATCCTGGAAACAGTGAGGGAACGGCCCCCACTGCCTTGGCCCTGGCCCAGGCCAGCCAGGAGCCAATGTACAATTTTGTGGTGGCCATCTATGCTGAAATGCATTCAGTCTTAGCTCCACAAGGCCGTCTGGAAACAGCGAGGAACCAGCCCCTGCTGTGTCGGCTCCGCCCCCTGGGTGCATGCTGGGGAGGTGTCACCCTTTGTGAGGAATGAAGAAATGGACCATGCCTTGGCGCTTGCCCTGGTCTCAGCCCCTTCTGCCAGAGACCCTCAGATCTGTCCCACTCCTGTCCAGGCCCCCACAGGCACCCTTGACGTGAACGATGTAGAGCTGGCCACACCCACCCATAGGCCACACCCACCCGCCCCCCCCGAGGGCAACCCCAATGCTGATGCGGCCCTCAATGAAATTGAGTTTGACACCCCTGACCTACAGCGTATGCAACTCCAAGCTTGGTCAAGCAGCTGTGGATAAGAGTTAGATCCACTAACCCCACTGATCAAGGACATGCTCAGTTGGATATGGCAGGAAGCAAGAGTTACATGTGTCATCCCAAACTCTACAAATTCATGCATGGCATTAATACCTCATTTATTAAGTTGCATCTGGCTGAATCATACTCCCCTTTTGAAAAAATTGCAGTGGTTGGGTTCATACACCACTGAGCTACACAAAAGTCTCGAGACACATTAAGCCCTCCTGTTTGCTTAACGTAAATGCATGTGCCAGACCCTCCCTCCTTCCCTATATAGTTCCTAGACACAATCCAGTGCCTTTTCTCAGATAAGTACCTGAATCCTGAGCAGCTAATACTTTCCATTTACTTAAGAGGAAACAGCGGCTGCTCTGATTCTGGATGATACATTTAATCTTTTAAAAGGGGCCACTAGTAATAAAGTATGCAGTAAGGAAGTAGCGTTCATACCTAGTAACCAGCCAGTGGCTTACCATGCACAAGTGTTCTGTATTTTATTTACTACATACTTTATTACTAATTTTTAAATTCACCCACAGTATAATCTAAAGCAGATGGTCCTGTTAGTACAGTGGTGGCGAACCTGTGGCACGCGTGCCAGAGGCAGCACTCAGAGCCCTCTCTGTGGGCACGCGCGTTGCCACTGCCAGCAGTTTGCGCGGGTCCATTAGACTGCCGCCGCCTGGACTGGCAGCCCCATCCAGCACAAAGGAGGCGAAGCGGCCAGCTAGCAAGCTCAAATAGAGGTGGTAGAGCATGCCCACAGCCAGCAAGCCAAAGGCCACCCCAAGCAGGGAAAGCCGGATCCCCACCAGCGCCATGGCCCCCCAGTCCCAGCTAAGATTGCGTGCCTCCCTCCTATCTATGCTGGGCCCATTGCCCCACCCGTCAGAGACCCCCTAGATCTCCCCCAACCCTGCCCGGCCACCACAGGTGCCCCCCCATGAGCAACATCAAGGTGGCCATACCCACCCCAGCAACGCCCACCCAGTCTGCCGTGACAACTGGAGCCATGCCCACCCAGTGGGTTATGCCCCCCGTGAGGGCACCACAATGCTGATGCAGCCCTGGCACTTTGCGATAAATAAGTGGGTTTGGGGTTGTGGTTTGGGCACTCGGTCTCTAAAAGGTTCGCCATCACTGTGCTAGTACATATCCAAAAGGATTTTGAACAATGAAGCTTCCTTCCCTTTGGTGCTGGAGATACCCTGCATATCAATTCCCAGATGCCAGTTTTTCTCAACTTTGGCAGCTTCGAGATACGTGGACTTCTTCTCCCAGAATTCCCCAGCCAGCATACTGAGAGTTGCAGTCCACATATCTTAAAAGCTGCCAAGGTTGAGAAACACTACCCCAGGGGTAGTCAACCTTGGCTCTTTTATGACTCGTGGACTTCAACTCCCAGAATTCTGGGAGTTGAAGTCCACGAGTCATAAAAGAGCCAAGGTTGACTACCCCTGCACTACCCTAAGTGGACTGGAGAATATGGGGACCAGCCTGTAGGAAGCACCAGATTGGAGAAGTCTATGTTAGAATCCACACCTTGTGTTAAATCGAAATTTGTCAAGTACTGACAATATTTGGGTTCACGTGTACTAAACCATTAATATTGGGTTATGACGGCCTCACAAAATGAGTGTCTGAAGGCTGGAAAATGCTTATAGCATCCATTTCACCCTTTTACAGACACAAACCCCACCCCGCGCATCAGCTGACATTGACAAAAAGTTATTCCAATATCTTAGGCAGAGAAGATACTGAGCCTCATTTTATCTGGAAACTGATTCTGCCTTTCAGCCACTGTATTTCAACAAAGGAGGGCAGTAGGAAGGCTGCAAGAAATGGAAGCAAATAACATGTTTTCTTGGGCTCCAAGATGACTGCAGACAGCATATTAAAAAGCAAACACATCACCTTGCAGACAATCCATATAGTCAAAGCTATGTTTTTTTCAGTAGCGATGCATGGTTGTGAGAGTTGGACCATAAGGAAGGCAGAGCATCGAAAAATTGATGCTGTTGAATTGTGATGTTGGAGAAGACTCTTGAGAGTCCCTTGAACTGCAAGGGGATCAAATCAGTCAATCCTAAAAGAAATCAATCCTGACTGTTCTTTGGAGGGACAGAGACTGAAGCTGAAGCTCAAATACTTTGGGCACCAAATGAGAAGAAGAAATTCCTTGGAAAAGACCCTGTTGTTGGGAAAGATGGAAGGTAAAAGGAGAAGGGGATGACAGAGGATGGGAGGGTTAGATAGTGTCATCGATGCAATGAACATGAACTCTGGGAGACAATGGGGGACGGGCGCTTGGTGTGTGCTATGGTCCACGGGGCCACAAACAACAAGGCTGCCTTATAAATTGGACTTAAAGCAGGCTGATGTGATTAAGGGGATGTTCATACTTAGTCTGTAAATATTTTGTTCCATCATGGGTGGAGATCGTGAAGATCATGAAAAGATGCAGCTTGCCAA